TCAGTATTCGTGGAATTGCAAATAATTTGGATTTTTATCTATAAGGGAAATATTTAAGGTGTTACATGAAGCTCCAAAAATTCAGTATTTAAATGCTGACTCATCTGAAGGTAATAACCCAGGATACAATTTTGTTATTAACATTAAATATAAGAGAGGTTTTGGCAGCAGAATACAAGGTTGGTTTAAAAATGAGCTTAAAATAGATAAAAATCTCCTAAATATTATTCGATCATTACCAAAAGCTTTAGGTTCGCCTTTGGCCAGAACAGGACCTACACGACGATATAGTTACGTACGGTATAAAAAATAAATAAAATAAATCGTGTACGACGTAAAACATGTGTATTACACAGAAAAATAATTAATATATTATATGAATTGTGTTCAAAAAGTGTTGCCAATGTACAGATTTCTGTATTTTATGAATGCAATTCAAAAACATTTAATACTGGTTTCTAGTCAGAGAAAGTAAAAAAAAACTTTGGTGGTAGTGACGAGTTTTCTATTTTACTCGGGGTTTACACATATGTAGAACTTTTGCAAGCAACTCTGTTGAGTCTTTGGACAGTGGAAAAGTGATAAGGGGGAAAATGCAAAAGAAAATCGAACATCAACACTTGTTTGATATATTGCATTTGGCATTTATATCGAAATAATTTGGAAAATACATATGAGAATTTTATAACACAATGCCGAGGTCAGTAACAGTGTCTAAAATAAAGAAACAATGGAATGTAAAAGTAACCACAATCCAGTGAGTGGAGAGAAGAAGTCAAACACAAAGTGTGGTAAGAGGTGGAGGACGCACTATGAGCCAGGAATCAGTTTTTTTTTTTTTTTTTGGAAAAAAGTATATTTCAGTTAGAGGCGATAAAACATTATATATTTGGAATCTGGGGAATTTGAACATCACACCAGTAAAATGTTATAACATTATGGATCACGGCTTACAAATGAAGTGATCAACATTTCATATTGCGTCAAAATATTATTATGAAATGATGGTGAATTAAACAGAAGGGACTAGTGATTATAATGAAAGTAAAAAATTGTGAGTAATTTGAAGATAATAAAAAAGTTCGCATATAAAACACAAAAAACTGAGTTTCAGAACCTAGTGCCAAGCAGTGCCAGAGGATATTTTATAGAGTTGGACAATCTAGTTCACGTAGCGAATTGATCTTTCTTGTTCCTTTTTTAAAAATGAACTAGTTCCTTAATGTAATTCCTTTGCTCCATATAGTTCCTATACTCCAAACAGTTCCTTCGCTCTTTATAGTTCCTTTGCTCTTTATAGTTCCTTTGTTTTTATAGTGCCTGTGCTCCACATAGTTCCGACTCCTACATAGTTGCTTTGAATCTCTCTCTTTCATAGTTCTTTTTTTTGCTCACATAGTTCCGTGTTGATTTGTTAATAGATGATTGAAAATTGTGCAAAAATGAAATGCAGGACGATAAGCATAAAATATTTTTTATAAATAAATACAAATATTTAAAACAAAATAAAATTTAACTATTTACACAATAGTAAATTGATGAGCGTATACAATGTGACAGACCAAAATGGAACGAGATCAGAAAAAGGAACTATATTAATTGAAGAGTTGGAAATAGTTCCGATCGTTCCTTTCTTGGAATAGTTCCAATGAACTAGTTAGTTCCGGAACTACCCAACTCTAATATTTTAGTGGTTATAGCAACAATTGATGTCATGATATGTTCTCTGCCGAAAATTTTAATAAACTTAAGAGTTATTACCGATAATATACAGTTGCGGTCAAAATAATAGTAGTGGCTTTATAGGAATATTATTTTGTTTTGTAGATTCTGTGTTTGCTTCTATTATCCTCTTTTCTTTTTTCCACTTCATAACCTCGTGTAACAACAACATAACATGTACCGTTATTTTTGCATACCATTGTTGTTGTTGTTATAATGAAAATATAAAATACACTCCCGCTAGTGAAACACGTGGCCGCCCTCCAGTATTATCAAAAAAGGTGTTGCACGAATAGTAAGGTATTCAAAACAAAACCCCTTTGCTGCTGCTACAGAAATAAAAGACAAACTTGCTGTGGAAGCTAGCGTTGCAGACGTCTTCGAGATGCAAATTTGGCGGCGCGAAGCCCACGAAAAGTGGCGTTGTTGAAGAAAATGCATGGAGGTAAGCGACTAAAATTTCCTAAGGAGCATCTGGATTGGCCATTGAAAAATGGAGGAATATTTTGTGGACCGATAAGTCAAAAATTGTTCTATATGGCGGGAAAGGCTCACGAGCTTACGTAAGACGGCCTCCTAATTCAGAATATAATCCAAAATTTACGTTAAAAACTGTAAACCATGGAGGATCCAGTGTAATGATATGTGGATGTTTTTCTTTCTACGGAGTTGGATCAATATACTGGATAAAAGATATCATGGATCGCCACCTGTACGTCAAAATATTACTGTCTCCCGATCTCAATCCCATTGAGAATTTATGGCGTAATGTAAAGGCCGAGGTTGCGCAAAGAAAACCCACAAACAACAGCACATTGTGGGATGTTGTTAAGGATGCATGGGAGTCAATTCCTGTTGAAAGGTGCCAAAATTTGGTGAACTCCATGCCTCGACGCTGTGCCGCTGTAATTGCGAATAAAGGGTTTGCCACTAAATACTGATTAAATGCCTAACTTTTGAAATGAAATAGCCGACCTATTATTTGTTTTCGTTATTAATATCCATTAAATCAATAACACTACTATTATTTTGACCGACTATATTTGAATTAATTTAAATATTTTTAAGTTTATATAGCGAACTTGAATTAAATTTATGTTTTTCTTGTATTTTAACTTTAAGTTATAAAACTAACGATGTTAAAAAAATTAAATTTCAAAACATTCATAAATATTTGAAGCTCTTTTTACTTATTTCAAACTGTTGCACTACTATTATTTTGACCGCAGTTGTACATATTGTCGTTGAAAATTGCCTTTTAATAACATAGGATGCTGATGATAAAATTCGGTTCAAGCGAACGGTACCCCTTTTCTTTTTTTTCAACCAAATTTGTTGTAATTTAATATTTTGAATTCTCGTTGGGTGTGAAATCTTCATACCAAAAACTATCAACATTGGCTTAGGTTTCAGGATTGGCCCCACTTTAAAGGCGTTTTACAACCAAATGGGCTATAATTCAAATTTAATTAACGTATTCCATAGTTTTAAGACCATAATACATACGATTTCATGCTATTATTTTTTAAATACTGCCAAGAAATGAAAGAAACCACACAGACAAATGTTATTGCTTTAAAATATCGAAAATGGTGCTGAACCTTTATATCGGGGTTATTTAAAAATTTATATATTATATATTAAAAATTTTCAGCCAAGTGGTGTCTTATATTATAAAACCCCAAAATGCATTCTATAGCTTGGAAATGAGCTTAGAACCATATAAACACTAAAGTGGGACAGACATTTTATGTGAGATATATCAAAAACATTGCGAATTTTCTGCGAAAAATATTTTTTTAACCTAAAACCCTGAGTGCCGAACTACGTCCCTTTCACTTGGAAAATTCGGCCAAGACCTTTAAAATATCTATCAATAAATGATGCGGTATATATTCGGTTTTCAATTACAAACATCATGGGAGTAGTAGCAATGTATGTGCAAAATTAAAAAATCTGTATTAATGGGACCCCCCCATTCTCAGGGTCAAACTTTTTTTTTATATAATTCGATTCTACACTAATTCGAGAATGTCTCTACAAAATTTCAAGTGAAAATCTCAAGAAGCCTTGAAGATATAGCCGATTTATTGTGTCAGCATCAAGTGACAGCTCAAACTTTAGACGCGTTTTTCTCTTTCTCTTCTCTAATAACCTAATCGATTTCAAATTTTTACACGTTTCTCTGTGAGTGTATAGCTATCGTATGAAGTAGGATAAAGCCAATCGGTGAAGACCTTTCTATTTTTTAACATGGTTTTTGGTCAAAAATCGGCGATTTTGCAAAAATATTTTTTCAAAGGACCGCCATTTTGTTTATTTTAGAGCGAAGTCAATAATCCAAGTTCATACGAGAGCCAGACATGTACTCTTTGTAACACCGTTGGAATTTTCCGATTCCGATGTTCCAGTGAGGAGTTATCATGCCCGCCATCAAAAATAAGGACTTTTCTTTAATTACAAAAAACAACAACAAAGCAATAACAAATTTTTTTGTAAATTATTTTTCTTCTCTTTTAAATCTTCAAATATATATGTATGTGCAAAGTTACAAACCTTAACAAGCATTGGTATTGATTTACCAGCCCATTGAAAATCTTGAAAAATTTAAATCGAGAATGGGTGGGGTTCCCTTAAAAGGTTTTATATTAAAATATGTAAAATTTTGTTCATATCGAGAGTTATTGTGATAGCAGGCCGAGATGGAATTCAATTGTTCCATTAATACAATATTGGTTTCTCTTAATAAATGTAAAGTATTCTAACATGACAGCTTGAGTGCTATCATGAAAATTGATTTGTTTTCAAACCTAGGGTCAATAAAAAACGCAAGATAGTCCTATTTGGGCGGCCACAAATGTGGTACATTTTTTGATCTATTAAGTTAATAAATTTCAAAAATTATAGGTGTGAAAAATGTTTATTATATTTTTAATTTTATGAGTAAAAACACCTCAAGTATGATTCCTCAAAATTCCACACAAAAATCTGCATTATAGAAAATTTTACAGCATTTTTAATAAAAATGAACAAATGTACCCGGTTATTGGTAAAAACGATGGTTTCCTAATATTTTTTTTATTTACTGTTGAATAATAAAATATTTTAAATGTGTTTAGTATACTAGTTTCATCAAAAATATGCATTCGAATACTACGGGAATATTAAATGTATAAAAATTTTATTACCATCATTATGCAAATAACTTATGAATATTTTTCATTTCATTTTCCCATTGCAGATTTTCGCACCGCTGCACTTTTCCCCAATCACCAAAGCTCTAGTAAAGCAATAAAAAACAAATAACAAAATGGTGGGAGTAAATGTAGATTCCAGCTCCGATGAGCTGTCATCGAAAAATAATGTGATGATCAAATATATGCTGAAGCAACGTGAAAATCATGCGAGGGCACAAAAACACGACTACTCACACGTCTTTAGGCGGAAGACACGCTTCGAGATGTTCCGATTGTCAGCCATAGCGATGGGTATTGAATTTGCCTATGCCGCTGAAACGTCATTCGTATCACCGATTCTCTTGCAGATTGGTATCGATCACAAACACATGACCATGGCATGGGGTCTATCGCCACTGATTGGATTTTTTGTATCACCATTTTTGGGTTCGGTCAGTGATCGTTGTCATTTGAGTTTTGGTCGACGTAGACCCATCATCACATTGCTTTCGGTGGGTATTTTGGTTGGCTTAATATTGGTTCCATATGGCAAAGATTTGGGCCTTTTGCTGGGCGATGAAGGTTACACTATGAGTAATGTATCGTTGCCGTTAAATGGTAACTATACGGTTCATGATGGCAGTGTGTCAGCACAAATGGCATTGGATCCAGATGAGGGATTTTCAGCGTCGAAATTTAAATTTGCCGCCATTTTGACAATATTGGGTATGGTTCTGTTGGATTTCGATGCGGATACATGTCAAACACCGGCTCGGACATATTTGTTGGATATGTGTATCCCCGAGGATCAGCCAAAGGCTTTGACCATGTTCACACTATTTGCTGGAGTAGGTGGCACTATTGGCTACGCCATTGGCGGTATCGATTGGGAAAGTACAAATATTGGTGAGTAGAATCGGATTTCAAGGGTTTTAATTTTCAATGGTTGGATGTTGTCGGACAGATTCACAGTTTTTAAAATGTCAAGAGATTATTTTCTAACGTTCAATATTTTTTTCTGCACTGCAAGATCCTACCAAAAGCTAACTTGACCCTGTAATAATCCTCCATAGAGTTATAGTTGACCCAATATATTTATATTATGGTTGAATTTACAGGTTCCTTCCTTGGTGGCAACATTCCGACAGTCTTTGCTCTGGTGACCGTTATATTCTTCTTTTGTTATTTACTCACTGTGACCACATTCCGTGAAGTACCGCTGAAATTAATCGAACAGGATGATATGTTGAGACCGCTGTCGGCCAAGGCCATTAAGAAGGAATTACAGAAAAATAATACCAATGTGTTCTATATACATGAGGTAAGTCCCCAAGAATATCTCCTATCAAACAATTATTTAGTTCCCAATCCCTTTTCCCCGCAGAATTCCACCATGGATGCAGAAGCCGCTGCTGCAGCCGCAGCTGAGAAATATACCGTCATCGATCGTTATCAAGGTGCTGGTGAAACGACATCAAATGGTGTTTCCAATGGTCATGCCAGTAATGGCACACAACTACCTCCACCCGCACCAAAACTCTCCTCTAAGGCCATTGATATCAAAGAAATCGATGACGACGATAAACCCGTTTCGCTGAAGAAATATCTGAAAAGTATATTTGTTATGCCCAAGTCAATGAGAATTTTGGCTTTGACAAATCTTCTCTGTTGGATGTGTCATCTCACCTATTGTCTGTACTTTACGGACTTTGTTGGTGAGGCTGTTTTTCATGGTGATCCAATGGTAGGGTGTAGGGTTGAAGTTATGTCAGTAGTATTAAATGTTATTTTTTCTTTAATTTTAGGCCGCTCCCGGTTCCCAGGAGGCAGAATTGTATGAAGCTGGTGTTCGTTTTGGTTGTTGGGGTATGTCCATTTATGCCCTTTCGTGTTCCGTCTATTCGATGACTGTGGAAAAACTCATGAAGTGGTTTGGGTAAGAGTTGAAAGAAATATTGGCTTTTTAAGGTTTTTTAAAAATATTTTTTAAGAACCTCTATAAGCGTGGATTTCAAGGACCTCTATAAACATGTAGTTTTTAAAGAATATTTTTCAAGGACCTCTAGAAGAGTGTAGGTTTCAAAGTATATTTTTAATATTTTATTTATTTGGATTTTTTAGAGTATAATTTTCAAGAACGTTCATAAGCGTGGTTTATTTAGAGAATATTTCTTCATGAACCTCTATAAGCATGGATTTTTTTAAGAATATTATTCAAAGTCTTATATAAGCGAAGATTTTTTTAAGAAAATTTTTTCAAGGACCTCTATAAGAGCATTTTTTAATGAATATTTTTTGATGGACTTCTATATACGTGAATTTTTTAAGGAATATTTTTTAGAGTCCTTTATCAGCGGAGATTTTTTCTATTACACCAAGGCGTAGATTTTTAAAGGATATTTTTTCCATTAGACCAAGGTGTAGATTAATAAAGGAGATTTTTTCCATTAGACCAAGGCGTAGATTTTTAAAGGAGATTTTTCTCATTAGACCAAGGCGTAGACTTTTAATGGATATTTTTCCCATTAAACTAAGGCGTAGATTTTTAAAAATATTTTTCCATTAGACCAAGGCCTAGACTTTTAATGGATATTTTTCCCGTTAGACCAGACTTTTAATGGATATTTTTCCCGTTAGACCAGACTTTTAAGGGATATTGTTCCCGTTAGACCAGACTTTTAAAGGATATTATTTTCAATTAGACCAAGTATTATTTTTCAAAGACCATTAGATGTTCAATAATTCAATCCTCCAATTTGACAAAAAATATCCAGGCAAATTAAATTTGATCTTCTATTTTATTAATTTGAAATCCTTTACTTTTAATTTCAGTACCCGAGCCGTCTATATCAGTGGCATCTTGTTTTATGGCGTTGGAATGTTAATTTTGGGACTCTGGCCCACCAAATGGGGTGTTTTGTTCTTTAGTACCTCAGCGGGTATTTTATATGGAACCATATTTACAATGCCTTATATATTGGTGGCAAAATATCATGCCAAGAATTGCGTAAGTATTTTCAACATATACGATTTTTTCGTAAATCAAATTTATAACCTCCTCTCTTACAGTTCCGTGTTCGCGATGGTGAAACCGTACCACTCAAACAGACCCGTGGCCTTGGCACTGATGTGGCCATCATTAGCAGCATGGTATTTATTGGCCAGCTGATTGTATCGGTGATTGTTGGTCCGGTGGTTGCCTGGATGCAAACCACTTGCGCCATTCTATATCTGTCCACAATTTTGGCATTCTTTGCCGCCATCTCTGCCATGTTTGTGTTGTATGTTTAAATGATTCGGACTGAAAAGAAAACAACAAAAAAACAAAATCAAAGAAAACAAAATAGAACAGCATAAAACGAATTGTTAATTAATTATTATCATTATTCTCATTGTTAAGAAATAAATCCATAGATATTTAGTATATATCTACCAATGTATGTGTATAGTATAAATAATATATATGTTAAATGTAAATATACTTATATAAAAAATTAAAATTCATACACATAGTTTTATTATACCATATTCGTCATAGGGATAGGGATAACTTTGTAAGTTGGACCGGCCGAAGTTTTTATACCCTCCAACATGTGGTACATTCGACAAGAACTTTCTACATACCAAAAAAAGGCTTTCAAGTAGTAGGTTTTTTAAAGAATATTTTCCAACGGCCATCAGTGCAAAGTTTTCCTTAAGAATATGTTTTTCAAAGGTGTATATTTTAGAAATATTTTTTTAAAATGCCATCAAGACGTATATTTTTAAAGAATATTTTTTCAAAGGCAATCAAGGCGTATATTTTTAGGAATATTATTTTCAAAGGCCATCAAGACGTAACTTTTTAAAGAATATTTTTTTTAAATGCCATCAATGCGTAGATTTTTAACGAATATTTTTTCCAAAGGTAGATTTTTAAAGAATATTTTTTTCAAATGCCATCAAGGCGAAGATTTCCTATAGAATATTTTCTTCAAATATAGAATATTTTTTTTCAAAGGCCATCAAGACGTAAATTTTTAAAGAATATTTTTTTTTCAAATGCCATCAATGCGTAGATTGTTAACGAATATTTTTTCTAAAGGTAGATTTTTAAAGAAGATTTTTTAAAGGCCATCATGGCATAGATTTTTAAAGAATATTTCTTTCAAAGGCCATCAAGGCGTAGATTTTTAAAGAATATTTTTTTTCAAATGCCATCAATGCGTAGATTGTTAACGAATATTTTTTCAAAGGCCATCAAGGCGTAGATTTTTAAAGAATATTTTTTTAAAGGCCATCAAGGCGTAGATTTTTATACCCTACACAACTATGTTGTCAGGGTATTATAGCTTTGTGCAGCTCCAAAAGTTTGTAACGCCGCGAAATATTGGTCCTAGACCCACCTTTAAGTATACCGATCTCGACTAGCTGAGTTGATCTAGACATGTGTGTCCGTCCGTCCGTCTGTCCATTATAATTTGTAAACACGATACAGGCCACAGTTATTGACCAATCTTCACGAAATTTTGCATGTAGAATGGGTTCTGGCCAATGAAGACCCCTATTGTTTTTGGAAAAGATCTGTTAATATCCAGGGGATGGAATGGACCAAAAAACTTTATTTTGGTCGCTCCTGAGGCCGCAATTATGGCCCAAACACCGCGAATTTTTGCATAGAGAAGGGGATCGGGCCAAAGAATAAGCATGCATGTTTTAATAAAGATCGGTCAATATTTAGCGGGTCAACTGAACTCTGACTTTTGTGTGAAAATGACAAAATTTGTATTCTATGGCGTATATATTTTCCCCTGAAGGACCAAGGCCCGGGAAGTTTATAGTGTGTTCAAGAGGAGTGGTTGACCTTTAAGATGTGGGAGTTACACGTAAATATTTACAGGTGCTTACGTATTCAGACATTATTTAGTAACCCAATACCTCACTAGAGGGCGGAAATATAGGCCTAATCACTTTGAAATGTTCAATGAGGATCCAGGTATGGTCAGGGATATCGGGTATAATTTTCGGTGATGATCAGATCAAAATTTTGGGATGAAGTGGACCGAAAACTTAATTTTTTATGTTTTTTTCGAGACGATCTATAGGCAACAATAATAATCAGAACATCACAATACAAGGGAATCTGGACAAGTAATTGAAGGGTTGTACTCAATATTGGGAATATGTCAGTGTAAGGAAGAGGTGCTGTCGATCTTTAATCGGGCAAGAGGGTGCAATTATCACGAAATATTGCCCACGCTCAGAATAAACATCGACAGAAAGTTAGAGTTCCGTGGTAGTTGTATAGGGTATCGTATGGTCGGCCCCGTCCGACTATACTGCTCCGCTCACTGGTTTAAGAATATTTTTTCAAAGGGCATGAAAGCGAAGACTTTTGAAGAATATTTTTTCAAAGGCCATTAAGGCGGGTGCTTTTTAATATAATTTACTATACTAAGCACATCCAAATAAATTGATATTGACGTATTTTGATATGGCTTTTATATACAGACGAAATTGCTAATAACGACGGTCAAGGGGCATGAAATTAGTTGCTATCAGCGATGTTCTTTATTATCGAATACAAGAGCAGAACTTTTTTTCTTAACCGATATGTCGGTGTCCTGATAAACGGTTTCGAATTGTATATATATATATATATATATATATACAGTGGCACGTTTCATAAATGAAGAAAAATTCTTTCTATTGCCACGAACAAGTTATAAACCTGCATTATTTTCTTTCATTTTTAAATTTAATATTTTTAGCAGCGACATCTATTTGTAAGAATGTCACTTTGCGATATGATTTTTAAATATTTTATTCGGTAGGCTTCTTTGGTTTTATTCGGCCGAAAATTTATTTCGCTTGGCTTATAGTGGCATCTTTATTACAAGAACATAATTCATACATCTCTAATTTATGTCATAAAATGTAGGTGACTCTGAGGTAAAGGTTTTCAAACAAGGGATCACTAACGTACCGTCTTTACTCAGTTAATGTAATCCCGTATTTATTTCATATTATATAAGTTTAATCATTGAGTGCAAGGGAGTGCATTCTTGGTTTATGCATATTTAAGAAGTCTTTTTTTCGATTACAAGTAAAGTCAAACCAGTTCATATAAAACTTAGCGCCATCTATACTAAATACATTAAATTAACAATTAAAGTACTACGAACTGTATTATTGACCATATTGGGAATTGCATGAATAGGTATTGCCATTCATTTTTTATGAACAAACATCATCTTTTGATATCGAAATTTGAAAATTTTGCGAGTTTTGGAAGAATCTCATAAATTATTTCTTAAAATATTTTGTTTTTGCAAAATAGTCAGGCTGAATTGTTTCTTAAAATATTATTTTGTGTAACATCTGTAGACACAATAATGCTCCTAAATGGGGAATATGTGTTTAATTTGGCTTTTGCAAATTTATGACTTCTTTCAGACTGTTTGATTATATGTATACATACAAACTATTTTATACATGGCGAAATGTATCTGATAATCGAATGTCTATATTATTGATGAATCATCCAAATTTACCAGTTAAAAATAGACCAGAAATTGTGTGTGAAAAATTACAAAATTCTCATACTATGGTTGCAGAGAAGTTGCCAGTGTATGCCAACTTTGAATTTAATATCCACTATAGAAATGGACCTTCAATAGGATGTCGATGATGTTTATAGGGAAAAATATAAGGCATTGTCGACAATGACTGACTTTTTGTTCTAAAAGGTGCCTTAACTATAAAGGTTTTTTTTTTTTAATTTGCCGCCACTCGAAGTTTCATTGTTTGACATTTGAACCAATGTTATTATTTTTCGAGTGGAAGGTACAAGGTTGGAAAAATTATGAATGAAATTGTTTTATCAAAATGGTGAACTTTTATTGTTCAGTCGCAATAATGATCCAAAAGGGTGAACTGTAAAGAGATTAATGGATAAGTTTACCGAAACTGGGTCTGTTAGTGATGTAAAGACAACAACGCGCCTTCTACCAATTCGATCGAACGAAAATATCGCATTTGTGCATGGCGATGTCCCTTAAATTCCATCCACCACAATTCGACACCGAGCTCAAAAAATTGGTGTCTCCTTTCTAATTTTGACGAAAGTATTTCCATCTTAATACATACAAAATTCGTTGGATATAACCTCAAGAATAGAGTGTAGACGAACTATGTTAGCAGATCTACATGCCCGGACACTATCTAGGAAGCCCTTTTATTTCTAAAAAGAATCGCAAAGCCAGATTGGCTTTCCCAAAAGCTCATAGAAATTGGAATCGGGCTCAGTAGAAACATATTATATTCTCGGATGAATTAAAGTGTAAATTAAAGGTTCAGACACGAAAAAAGTTACCGCGAGAAAGTCAATAAATTAAAGTCTCAAGCATCAGTATTACAAGGGTACTGGGTAGCATGGTGGAGAGTAAGCAGTACAGCAATTTAGCACGTTTAGTATTATATTTAACACTTTTTAAAGCCTTTTGGCACCAAAACAAATATATATATATATATATATATATAGCACCTAGCACTTTTTTAGCATTTTTTATTTATTTCAGGATTTTTTTTTTCAAAATGTCCCAAAAATCAAATTTTTCTTTCTTTTATTCGATTAATATGATTTTCCAACGATTAACCAGTGAGCTGAACAGTATAGTTAAACGGGGCCATCCGTATGATATCCTACTCAACTACCACTGGACATAAATTTTCTGCGAAATTAATCTCCGTACCAGTGAGACATTTGCGAGATATCCACCTCCTGGAGTGACAATGATACTGCTAATCCAGTGAGCGGAGTTGAGCGGACGGGACCGACGATATGAAACCCTAGACAACTACCATGGAACTCATACCTTCTACGTATCTATAATCCGAGCATGGACATTATTTGGCGATATTTAACCAATTATAGGTTAACAGCTCCTCTTTCTTACTCTGGCACCTTATCCAAACCTTATTTTCAGGAGTGAACATTTGTCCCGCTGAATATTGAATTATAATCATTTGCAAAACAAGGTCTATAGAGCTCACAAAATTACATTTTCGGTCCATTTCATCTTTTAAATATTATTGGATCTTGACCGAAGCTTGTAAGTTTTGCCCTTGACCACAACCGGAACTTCATGCTAAATTTTCTAGCTATCAGCGCGACATTTCCTTCCGCTAGCGTTGTAGTTATAACACTAAATAATATCAGAATATGTAGACTCTTGAAAATATTTATTTACGTATAATTCCAACACGAATTTAAAGGTCAACCACTCCTCTTGGATATACTACCAACTTCTCCAG